AAAGTTTACATAAAGTTCTAACTCCGAAATATCTAGTCAACAGAAAGTACAGAAGACCTAAAGCTAACAGAGGGAATATAGAGAGACTCCTCGGTCTGCGGACGCGGAAGATATACCTCAAAGTCTCTAAAAGGTCGCCTCGCCTCGCTAACGGTATGGCTGAGCCGATGAACCTGGGTCTGCACACGAAAAACATGTGCAGGAAAGGGCATGAGTACACCACGGCGGTACCCAATAAGTGCCAAGCCTAACCTCGATCGAGTAGTAACGAGGAAGGTCAGGGCCCCACCGTTCATATACATATATATATATAAAGAAATGAAACAGTATGAAGTAACACAGGATAATAAGAATAACAACAAATGCAACAGAGAGAAAATCACAGAAAGAATGTAACTCCTCACAGAGATAGCAACCGGGGATCTACCAGGATACCGTCCTGTAGTCCCCAAATGTAAATATCCAGCAACCGAGGATCTACTAGGATACCGTCCTGTAGTCTCCAAATTTAAATATCCAATGGATCTCCCGGGTGTCGTCCTATAGTCCAACTCATAGTGCGCGGGGGATCTACCGGAATACCGATCCGTAGTCCCCACATATAAATACCCAGTACTGGGGGAATCTATCGGGTGCAGTCCCGTAGTTCCAATATAAACGTGCAGGGGAATATACCGAGATATCGCCCGTAGTCCCAAAGTAAACACACAGCAGCAACACGAAGAATATTCAATTCAATCCAATTTCATACCAAGGTAAAACAGGTAATTCTAACCTAGCATGCTGCACATAATTCAAATAAAGTAGTTTGAGCAAGTAAAGCAATTAAGTCACTTAGACATGCTTCCCTAAGCTAACAGTAGGCTTAAATTGCAATTAGTATAAACAGGGAAGAAAAGCACAGTTATAGTTACTTAATGAAAACATAATTTTCAACAATTAGCACATGTACGCACTCGTCACCTCACGTACAAGGCATTTCATATATCAACAATACCAATCCTAAGGGGAGTTCTCCCACGCAAGGTTAGGCAAGCCACTTACCTCGAACCAGCTCAATCAACTCGATATCACGTTCTTGCGACGAGTACCCGACTCCAAATGGCCCAAAGGTATTCAAAGTAATTGCATAATATAAATGTAACTTCAAGTAACTAATTTAACTAATTAATTCGAAGCTAACACGTGAAATTAGGAAAATCGCCCAAAAAGTCCCCCGGGCCCAGGTCTCAGAATCGGATAAAATTTGCAAAACTAGCATCCTCACACTCTTACGAGTTCCTACATACCAAATACATGAAAATCGGACTACAAACGACCCCTCAAATCCCCAAATCCAAGTCTCCAATTTCAAACCCTAAACCCCCAATTCTAACCCTTATTTTCAGTAGAATAATACCATATAAACGAGTTTGGATTCCAAAAATCTTACCTCCTTGAAGCTCCCTCGAATCCTCTCTCAAAAACCTCCCAAAAAGCTCAATTTTTGGATAAAAATGGTGAAAGAATAGGCTAAAATCGCGACAGAAACCTTATATAGGTTCTGGCCCAGGGTTTCCGCACCTGCGGCCATTTCCTCGCACCTGCGGTCCCAGGTGCGCATCTGCAAAAGTTCACTTAAATGCACTGGCCGCACCTACGCTTCACTTACCGCATCTGCGGTCTTGCAGGTGCGATAAATCACTCGCACCTACGACTCCTGATTTCCCTTCCTTTGGCCGCATCTGCGACTGGCCACACGCTTTTGCGGGCCCGCACGTGCGGTCCCCAATTCGCAAGTGTGGTTATGACAGCACTTCAGCAGCTGAAGCTGCTTCCAAATCTCCCAATTTCTTCCGTCAGTATTTCGAAATAATCCGAGGCCTCCGAGACCTCAACCAAAAATACGAACAAGTCATATACTACTATTTAAACTCGTAACAACCCTCGGAACACTCAAAACAATGCCGGAATACCAAATCACCCTCGGATTCAAGCCTAAGGATTCCAAAACTTCCAATTTCCGCTTTCGATCAAAAAGTCAATCAAACCTCGTCCGAATTACCTAAAATTTTGCACACACGTCCCAAATGACACAACGGACCTACTCTAACTTTCGAAATTCCCCGACTCCGATATCACAATCTCACTATCGTACCGGAGGTTTAAAAAATTCGACTTTTGGCATTTCAAGCCTAATGAAGCTACGGGCCTCCTAAATACAATCCGAATACGCCCCTAAGCCCGAAATCACCCAACGAAGATAATGAAATCGACGGAATTCCTTTTCGAGGTTGTCTTCACACTCCTCCGAGTACGGTCCAAATACTAAAGCTTAAGCTCTCATTTAGGGACTAAGTGTCCCAAAACACTCCGAAACTCAAAACGAATCCTCCCGACAACTCACAATAGCAGAAACAAACCCGGGGAACGGGGCGTTAATTCTTAAAACGACCGGCCGGGTCGTTACAGCTAACAATTGTACATTTGACGAATTTGTTGATGTCAAACGTGGAAAACCAACATGTTCCCCCGAGGAATTTGAATATTACATATATGCTTAAGTCTACGCCGAAGAGGGATAAGATTTCTCTTTCCTTCATTAAGAATGACAATGATTTGTAGTTGCACATTCTCGATTATCAATTGATGGTATGATGCCTTGTTTGAAGATATTTGTGGCAAAAAATGAGTTTGAAGAAGGGGATGAAATTCCTCTTGAAAGGTCTCATAATACCGCAACTGCACCACCACTACCACCACCACCACCAACACAACCACTGATTTTAGAAGTATAGAAGGAAAGAATTGTGAAAGATGATTTCAGTAGATTTAGTCATGACTTGCATGATTTTGGTGACAATGAAATGAACTTGTACGATCTGGAAAATGCAGATAGAGCGGAAGAGCTCCCAGATATTGTCAGTCGGGCAGTTGGAGATGAAGGTTTGGTGGACTCGTTAGCTACACAACACAACCACCTTGACAACACAAGTTTTTTCCTTGGAAAATGTTTCGACAACAGATTGGATCTAATGAAATAGTTGGAGGTTGAATTATTTTACGTTTTTATGAACAAGAGTAGCAGTAAATTAACTTCGGTAGCATGCCGAGATCTGAGTTGCCCGTGGAAGTTACAAGCTTTAAAGTATGAGTTTCTGATAGGTTTTACATTACCAAGTAGTATGGCAAGCACACATGCAAGGTTCAACACATATCAAGCCGTCACCCTAACGCATCGTCGAAGACTGTGGGTGCATATTACCAAGAATTGTATGTTAATGGAAAAGGCCCATCCACATCAGGTCTGAAGGATCCTATTTTTACAATTTAACCAAAATCTTACTTATTGGAGGAGCTGGAAGGCAGGTGAAATAGCTAAGGCTATGACTAGGGGTACTCAATAAGAGGGATATGCTTTGTTGGAAGCGTATCGCCATGTTATTTTGTCCTATAATGAAGGAAGTATTGTTGATTGGAAGGTTGATGATAAATTGCATTTTAGATATTTTTTTCTTATCTGTTTGAACTTTCATTAAGGGATTCGCGCATATGAGAAAGGTTATTGTTGTTGATGGAACGATTCCGAGTGGCATGTATGGAGGTTTCTGAGTGGCACATTTAATTTATCTTCGCTGAATGGATGGCACATCATAATATGCTCCCAGGACCATTTCTTTGTAAGCACATCTTGGCCTAAGTTTGTAAACTGATCAGTTTTTATTAAATTCCTAGGCATCATGAGTGCGAGGGGTTGTACCAGTTCTTCTAGTTTACCATCATCATACAAACTGATATTGCTATCGTAAATTCGAATCAAACTCTCTACCAAGTGGAAAAAATAGGCACAAAATACTTGTTATCAACTTGTCACAAACAGTACAACACCTTAGCCTTGCACCACTCCATGGCCCCAGGTTTTGGCATACTTCCTTGAGGATATAGCATCATGGGTGTAAGGCACAAGTCTTGAAAAGCATCAACTGTCTCACAAAAGTCCAAATCCTTTCCCTCTTTAGTGACAGCCCCCTTGATCTTATCCCATGCAGCGCACATGTTGTTGCGTAATGCAACATCTATAACAACATCATGGGTATAAAGGCGTGGACGTTTTATGTTTTGTAGATGCATTATTGCCAAAAATTCCTCCACGTGCTAAATATTATTTAAAAAAATGTACATTAAGCATGGAGCTACCATAAAAAAAATACATGCAGTAATTAAGGGATTTACAAAAATGAAGACGGACGGGTTAATACAGCATAACTGCTCAAAAAACCTCTAATCATAGTTGCCAGTCAAAAAGGTTTTGGGAAACTTCTCTTGCTTGTCAAACCATTCACAAATAGTTTCTTATCTTCCTCTGCAACTGGTTTGAGTACGTCTATCTTCGATTTCTTCTTCTTAATCTGTTTGAGTTTCCTCGATTTGCTTTGCAATCTTGTAACCCTGTACCAAGGTTACCCAACTACTTTAGAAGAGCTCTCATTCTTATTTTGCATCTCCCTAATTATCTTCAACACCTTATCCAATTTGTCATTCACAACCTTCAACTCTTTGCACACATTTGCATCACTTGGCGAGCATTGCACATCCTCAATGATCCTCCTCTACTAATATCAGGAAAAAAAACACTAACTAGTGGTGAACCATGAATATTCCCACCCAAAGGGTCATCATCAGCAAAGTCAACTTCATCATTAGTCTCTAAACTCATTGCACTAGGTGCCTTTTTAATGGTAGACACCCATTCAAATCAACCGCTAGCTGGCCGATTATAGGATCTGCTACCTCATAGTCGTATAATACTAAATTCTTCATGTTGTCCATATCCATCTCACATAGGGTAGAAATAAGGTAAGAGTGCACCTCCTGAAATATAGCATAGATATAAGTCAATAGACAAGCAATACACAAAAATAGACACGAGGTTTAATATAATCTCCTACTTTGGTTAAGTCTAATCTACTAGTGGAGTGTTATTGCACTCCTTATCTTGACATACCTGGGTCATCAATTCTCTACTTATAGGTATCCCAATCAGAGTCAGATTTCACTTTCTTGATGTGCCATCTCAACATCCTTGGCATCAGCATCGGTACGACATTTGATTTTTCGGCACTACGACCAAATAGCAGAATTGATTCGCGGCCTACATTTTTTCATGAACCAAAAAATATGAATTCTTGTCTATAAAAAATAAAATAATAGTACTCAACTGCAAATAAATTTGAAATTTTTTTTAATACGTATCATGAATGCCCATGGAAAGCCGTACAGGGCATAACTAGCCGATTTAGACTTTTTACCAGAGATTTTATTTTCCTTACTCCTGCTCATATATGATTTATAAATTGGAAACATGTCCTTCTTCAAGTACTCAATTGTAAGCTCAAAACACTCCTTGCTCCATGGATATTTTATGAAAACTTCCAAATTGTCAGCAATACAAATCCACTTCTTATCGACGTGCGCTATGTTGTCCCTTGCAAGCAAGACTGAATGGACAAACCATACCAATGCAATCTTAAACCTCTCTTCTGTGTGAAACATCTCGGACTTCAATTGTTTCAAAAGCATCTCTGCTTCCACCCCCTTCCTGCTAGATTGACAAACTTTGTCACAGAATGTTTCGCCATCATCCATTACTTTGTTCATTTCTTCTTTACTGGGTTTGGCACCACAGTTCAATCCAGTCATCATAGCAAACTTCTTCAATCCAAAGTGAATAGGCTTGTCTCCAACTAAAAGCCATAATCGCGCTTTTTGCGCAATAAATTCGCGAATCAACAGGGAATGGACAAGATGTCTATTGAACTGTGTCTAGTGCTCTGAAAGTTTTGCAAACCGTCCAAAATAACTACTATTAAACTTTTTCATCAATTTGACTGCTCTAAGTTTATCCTTAAACTCATGGAATAAATTGATACTAGACCTCACACTAATCTTGGCCGATGTGACGACACGGCCAGTCGTCTCATGAGTTACCGCTACGATTCCCCCATTTCTGCTTCCTTATGCTTCGTTATCTGTGTTTTATGTGATCAAGTTAATTAGTTTGCATTCGGAGTGGATTTGGTAAGAAATGAGATACTTAGTCTCTTTTAAGAAGGTTTAAGTTGGAAAAGTCAATCGGATGTTGACTTATGTGTTAGAGGGCTCGGATGTGAATTCTGATTGTTCGGTTAGCTTCGGGAGATGATTTGTGACTTAGGAGCGTGATCGGAACTGGTTTTGGAGGTCCGGTGTAGAATTAGGCTTGAATTGGCGAAGTTAGTATTTTGGTGAATTCCGGTTGATAGGTGAGAATTTGATCCAAGGGTCGGAATGGAATTCCGAGTGTTGCTGTAGCTTCGTTATGTCATTTGGGATGTGTGTGCAAAATTTTAGGTCATTCGAACGTGGTTTGGTTGGGTTTTTGATAGAAAGCGTATTTCGGAAGTTTTTAGAAAACTTAGGCTTGAATTCGATGAATTTTGGGTAACTTGATGTTGTTTGAGGTGTTTTGATGATTGGAGAAAGTTTGAATGAGGTTTTAGGATGTGTTGGTGCTTTTGGTTGAGGTCCCGGGGGACTCGGGTGAGTTTCGGATGGTCAATCGGACCATTTCTGGCTTTGAGAAGTTGCAGAAAATTGCAGGTTCAGTATTGCAGAACCTTGTTCTCTGCGATCGCATGAGGGGTCCTGCGATCGCATAGGAGGATTTGTGGGAGCTGTTTGGTTGTTCATCGCGAACGCGGATAATGAGTCGCGATCGCATAGTGTTAAATGGACCTCGGGGCTTGGATGGAAATTGTTCAATGCGAACGCGGGAGTGAGTCCGCGATCGCGTAAGGTCAGGAGCTTATGCATTACGATCGCAGGTGTTTGTATGCGATCGCATAGGGTAAAAATTGGTGGTTGAATTTTTGTGCTTCGCGATCGCGAAGGTTTTTGCGCGATCGCATAGAAGAAATATCAGAACTGGGCAGAAAGTTTATAAACATTTCATCTGCGATTTTTAGTCATTTTTCCTCCATAGCTGGGCATTTTGAGAGCTTTTTGAAGGTGATTAAAGAGGTATTCAAGGAGAATTGATTGGAGGTAAAAATTTTAAACCTAAAACGTGATTTTATTGTGAAATCTACCTAGAAATTCATGTAACTTAAGCTGAAATGGAAGAAACTAGGGCTTGGGATTTTGAAATTTGATTTAGGGATTTGAAGGACCATTTGAGGTCGGATTTGAGAGCTTTTGGTATGTATGAGCTCGTGAGGAGATAAGGAACCCGTTGATGCAAAAATTTCTGAGTTTCGAGAAGTAAGCCCGGGGCTCGGGTTTTGCTAATTTTGGGATTTTCGATATTTTTCGATTGTTTTTGCTTGGGCTTTGTTTCCTTAGCATATTGTGACGTATTCGTTCTGATTTTGGATAGATTCGACGCGCGCGGAGGCCGGTTCGAGGGGCAAGGGCATCGCGAGCTAGAGATTTAGCCGGTTCGAGGTGAGTAATGATTGTAAATGACGTCCTAAGGGTTTGAAACCCCGGATTGCACATCGTAGTGCTATATTGAGGTGACTTGCACGCCGGATAGCGAGCGTGGGGTAGAGCACCATTGGGGATTTGTGTTTTGGTCCGTCCCGATTGATAAATTTACCGCGTATTTGACTGAAACTTACTTGTTATTATCATGATTTGGATTGATCGTCATATTTGGGCTTCTTGCCAATTATCTGAACCCTTCAGGGATTGTTATCACTATTTCCTCACTGTTTTGACTTATTACTTAAACTCTGTCGTGCTGTTTTTCACTGTTTTACCACTCAGCCACTTTTACTCGATTTTGAGACTTAAATTATGTTTGGGCTGAGAACTATTGTTTTACTGATGCCCGAGGGGCTTATGTGATCTTTGGACTGAGTATGGACGAGGGCCAGATGTGAGGATACACTGATACTGTTATGAGGCCGAGGGCCTGGATTTGATGCCACGAGATGGCTTGATATAGCGCTTGGGCCGTAAGGGGCCCCTCCGGAGTCTGCACACCCCCAGTGAGCGCGGGTACCCATTGTGATCTGAGAGTGAGCTTGAGGAGCTGATATTATTCTGAGAGAGAGAGAGAGCCCGAGGGGCTGGTACTGTTATAGGTGTTTACTTTCTTTATCTATCTGTGCATTAATTGCTTAACTGTTGTAGAGGTATTTAATTCTGTTTTCAATGGGTTACTGATTTATATTACTTGTTTAACTGTGGCAATAAAGATTACCTTGTGTTCACGTGATTCCTTATTCTCAGCCGTTATTTATGCTTATTATTCACTGGGTCAGAGTACTCACATTACTCCCGGCATCGTGTGTGCAGATTCAGGCATAGCAGATCCCGCTCCCGAGTGTTGACTCGTCCCAGCTCAGGCAGATTCTTCGAGGAGACTTTAGGTAGCTGCTGGTGTTCGCAGTCTGGAGCTCCTCTCTATCTATATCTTTACTTTCCATTTCAGTACTGAGACTCTGTAGTTATTTTTGAGATATTTGTTATCCTAGACGTTCGTGACTTGTGACACCCCGGTTTGGGCTTTGTCGGGATGGTTTCCCCTTATTGTTATCTATGTTTCCGCAAATTTATTACTATTTAATCATACTTTAAACTGTTTTATGATCATTAATTGTGTTAAAAGGTGTATTGCATTGGTCTGGCTGGCCTTGTCTTCAGGAGAGGCGCCATCACGACCGGGTTCGGGGTTAGGGTCATGACAAGTTGGTATCAGAGCCTAGGTTACTAGGTCTCACGAGTCATGAGCGGGTTTAGTAGAGTCTCGCGGATCGGTACGGTGACGTCTGTACTTATCCTCGAGAGGCTACAAAACCTTTTAGAAAAAATTTATATTCTTGAAATTCTTATCGTGCAAACTTGTTGATCCAGAACTAAACTTCTGTTATTCTACTCTCTCACAGATGGTGAGGACGCGAGCTACCGGACGAGGTGGACGACTACCAGTGCCACCCACTGAGGCCACCAGAGGCCGTGGACACGGTCGTGGTCGTGGTAGAGGCAGAGCAGCGAGGGCAGCACCGGTTGATCCACCAGTTGCCCCAGCTCCGGATCAGACCCCAGCAGCACCAGTACAGGCACCAGTTGTGCCCATCATGATTCCGAGCCTTCAGGAGGCCTTGGAACAGATCTTATCAGTTTGCATTAGCCTGGCTCAGGCAGTTTCAGCCACCACAGCAACATCTACTTCACAGGCCGGGGGAGGCAATCAGACCCCCACTGCTCGCACCCTAAGCAGGTAGTGCAGGGACTACAGACGCTGGGGGCACCTCCAGCCCAGCCAGTTGCACCAGCACAGGAGTTCATGGTCCCAGTTATGTTGGATGATGAGCAGCGTCGTCTTGAGAGGTTTGGTAGACTCCAGCCTCCGTCATTCAGTGATGTTGAGGGTGAGGATGCCCAAGGTTTTCTGGATAAGTGTCAACGGATTCTCCGTACAGTAGGGATTCTTGAGTCTAGTGGTGTGGCATTCACCACCTTTTAGTTCTCGGGGCCTGCCTTCACTTGGTGGGAGGATTTTGAGAGGCGTAGGCCTGTCGGTGCAGCACCCCTTTCTTGGCAGCAGTTCTCCGCTCTCTTCTTGGAGAAGTACGTGCCGCAGTCCCGCAGAGAGGAGCTGCGTAGACAGTTCGAGTGGTTGAGACAGGGGGATATGACAGTGTCCCAGTATGAGAGGAGGTTTTCTGAGTTGGCTCGTCATGCCATCTGGATGGTTCCGTCAGACCATGAGAGGATCAGGAGATTTGTTGATGGCCTTAATTATCATCTCTATATTCTTATGACTAGAGAGAGAGTGACGGGTGCTACGTTCGAGGAGGTGGTTGATATAGCTCGTGAGATTGAGACGGTTCGTCGTTAGGAGCGAGAAGAGAGGGAGACCAAGAGGCCTCGAGGATCCGGCAGTTTCAGTTGTGCTCCTTCGAGGGGCCAGTTCCAGCATGGTAGAGGCCGTTCTTTCAGGCCTGCTCAGTCAGCCCGCCCAGAGTATCGCGGGGCATTTACATGTCGTGGTCATCATGGGGCTCAGCAGGGCAAGCCATCACTCAGCGCCCTCCCAGCTCAGAGTTCATCTCATGCCCCATCAGTTCAGGGTTCTTCTGCACCGAGTGCATCTGCTAGTCACTCTGGTGCGAGGGGTTCCCTTCAGTCCCCTTCTCCAGCACCTGGGAGTTGTTTTGAGTGCGGAGAGTTTGGGTATATATGGAGGAAGTGTCCTCACTGTGTTGCTAGCTCGTCTCAGCAGAGGGGTCAGCCCTCGACTTCTGCTCCAGTTACTTCACCACCCGCCCAGTCAGATAGGGGTGGAGGTCAGGCAGCCAGGGGCCGCCCCAAAGGGGGAGGTCGATCAGGCGGTGGACAGGCTCGCTTCTACGCTATTTCGGGCAGGCCAGATGCTATTGCTTCAGATGCTGTCATTACAGGTATTGTTTCAGTCTACCACAGAGATGCCTCTGTATTATTTGATCCCGGTTCCACCTTTTCTTATGTGTCCTCGTATTTTGCTCATTATTTGGGTACGCCCCGGGAGTCTCTTGCTTCACCTGTTCATGTATCTACCCCAGTGGGTGATACTGTTATTGTAGACCGTGTGTACCGGTCATGTGTAGTGACTATTGGGGGTCTGGAGACCCGAGTAGATCTATTGCTATTGAGTATGGTGGATTTTGATGTCATTTTGGGCATGGACTGTTTATCTCCATGTCATGCTATTCTAGAC